TCTGGGCAGCTACAAAAAAAGCAACTTCTGATTTCACACTCTATGAAGGGTTGGAGTGCCAAGGACCATTTACCCCCATTGGAGTCAGCATATTCAGCAGGGGTGACAAAATTGTGATGAATAATGCTGGCATTTTAATGTGCAGCTGTGTGCATAGGCAGCATGCTCTCTCTGCCAACTCCCAGCATGAACAGGTCACTTACTATCCCCACCCTGGATCACAGGTGCTGGAGGGACAGGCTGAGCGTGGATGCCCAGGGCACGGCTTCCTCCTAGCAATCTCCTGCAGGACGTGGTGGTCAGCAACCCCAGAACCAACAGATCCCTGACACCTCCTTGAGAGGCTTCATAGCAGGTGCCTTTAGCAAGATCTCCCTGCCCCATACGTTCCCTGGCGCCCTAGGGTGTAGACTTCCAACAGGCCCTGCCAGTGTGGGTGGTAGTCTTTTCCCAGGAGCTCAGTCTCAGGTACGACCACCTCTATAACTGCAAGACTTAGATTCTTCCAAGTGAACTGGGGCAGGGAGAAAGTAAAGACATCAGCAAAGTTTAAGCTTGGCCAACGTAAAATGAGATCTGAACAATCCTAACAGCTATAGTTAAAATATAACTTTCCCCTAACTACTATCATAGTCCATGACCACTCCAGAGTCAATCTCTTTGTGTGTGTGAGATAAATTGTTTCTTTTAATTGGTAGAGTGATTCCATACGATAAGCACTGGACTATGAACCACAAAGTTCGAAGTCTGAGCCCGCTAACTGCTCTGCTGGAGAAAGATGAGGCTTTCTGTTCCCTCGAAGATTTAAAGCCTTGGAAACTCTATACAGGGTCACTGTGAGTCAGAACCAACTCCATGGCACTTAACAACAACAACAACAATAATCCCCACTCCAAGGACTATCCCAGGAAGAGAAAAAACAGCTGTTCACATCTTGTGAAAGCCACGAATGACCACCGCCAGGAAAAACCTACCAGTGCCTATTAGAGACAAGGTGTCCGGGATGGTCAGCGAGACTTGAGAAGAACAAAGCAACAAAGAAACTTGTGAAATTCCCAGGGTTCCTACCCTATGCCAAGATTCCTACCAATCCTCCCTCCCCTTTCCCTCAGGAAGACAGATCTGGGAGATTTCTGCTCCCCTGTCCTTATGAATACTGATAGTCACTAAACACTTTGCTCTGAGTCCTGTCTCTGAATATTGGAGACATCAGCGGCAGGTGACAAGGAACGGTTTTCCCAGTTACACAAGCTATGTGTAAAGCTATGCTCACTGCCCCAATCTGACCTGCTGCCTATTTTTAAAATGCCCTGAAATGAAGAGTTCCTTTCCTATTTTTAAAAAGTTGACAATTTCAAGTGCATGAAATTAAAATTTTAGTATCGATGAATTAAGTTTTCTTGAAACACAGCTATATTCATCCATGTGCACATCGTCTATGGCTATTTTTCCACTACAGTGGCAAAGCCTAGAATATCTATTCTCAGGTATTTTACAGCTAAAGTCGTCCAGCCTCTGTGCTAGAGTTCTCACCACTTCTCATAGTCCCTCACTACGCTACCCTGAATAGTTTTTAGTTGTGAGAAGTCCTTTAGCCATAACTCATCTGTCATTTTGTCGCACTGAGGTGGCTTGTGTATTCCTGTGCTACTAGTATTTCAAATACCAGCAGAGTCACCCATGAAGGACAGGTTTCAGACTAAGACAAGCTGTAAGGACTGACCAGGTAATCTGTATTTTACACATTGTCAAGTAAAAACCTTATGAACAAGTTAACGGAACATTGACTGATCTAGTGCTGGAAGATGAGCCCCTTGGGTTCAAGGTCCTTAAAATGCTATTGGGGAAGAGCTACTTCCTTAAAGCAGAGTTGACCTTAATGACATGGATGGAGTAAAGCTTTCATGGCCTCCATTTGCTGACATGCCATGATGCAAAGTGAGAAGAGACAGCTGAAAGCATCCATTAATAATCAGATGTGGGATGTTTCAAGTATGAAACCAGTTAAATTATTAGTCAAAAATGAAATGGAACACATAAGTTTGATATCCTAGGCATTCGTAAGCTGAAATGGTCTAGTATGCGCCATTTTGAATAAGGCAATGATATGGTCTACTATGCTGAAATCAAAGAGGACTTGAAGCACTTACTGATGAAGATCAAACACTACAGCCTGCAGTATGGATTACAGCTCAACGTCAAGGGAACAAAAGTCCTCACCACTGGACCAATAAGCAACATCTTGACAAATGGAGAAAAGATTGAAGTTGTCAAGTGGACCTACCTGGCCAGGAGGAGACCAGCCAGGTAGGGTCCCATGTAAGCCCCTCGCTCATGGCACAAAGTGGGATGTAAGAGGGAGAGTCCTCGTGTTGGTCCAGACTGTTGGTGTTGGAATGTTTCCGGTTGTACGCTGTCTGGTTCTAGTAACAAGAGCCAAGTTCCAAGTGCTGCCATGTGTTCAGCTCTGATCCACAGGGTGAAGGACAGATTGTCAACAGAATCATCCACATCAGTTGTTTGTGGCTACCTAGAAATTGGATCCAACCTGTGAGCACCACATGCAGGTGGAGTGTTGACTGATGGATCAGGTGTGGCTGAAGCTGGGCATGCTACCTACAGTCATTCTTGGCATTTCACGTTTCCTGTTGAAGCTATTTTGTGTCCTAGTTGGGCCCTGAGTGATGGGACCAGCAGTGGACTTCCTTCAGGGATGTGCTCATATGGAAACTGGAGGTCTGAAAGCCATTCCACATACTCCTTGCAAAGTCTCTCTGTAGCCCTGAGTGTTTATGCACTTGAATTTAAAGGCTGGTCCTTTGATTGAAGTTCCTGCCCAGTCAGCCAGTTAGCTTCTGTTGCTTGGAGCGCTCAAGTGGGATACATAGCCCCATCTCTCTGTTTAGCTTGGCCCAGTAAGGACCATCAGTGGTACCAGATAGGGCCGACTGTATGCTACAGACTGGAGATGCGACTGTATGCGGACGGCAGGGAATGGGGGTTAATGGAGGAACTCCTCCTAGTGATAGCCATTCAATCTGTCCTCACCGTGAGAAACCCACAGTGACACTAGGACACTGAAGCAACTGAAACCTACAACCAGCCCAGCTCCTGCTTCTCTAGACACTGACTGCAGCCTATGTCTAGTCCCCAGGATGTGACAACCAAGTCCTGCCTTTAGCATGTGGAAGAAGAAACACGGGCCAAGTATGGACAATGGCACAGACAGTGGGTGGGAGGGGAAAGCCCCCAGGCAGGAAGGGTAGGAGCTCCATGAACAGGATGATCTAGGTAAACCCCACAGTCTTTGTAGGTCTGTGCATCAGCCCCTTGTTTTACTAGGAAGCAATGAAAAGTCACGTGGAGCATGTTAAAGCCCTCTGCAATCTGTCATATAAACGTTAATCCATAAACTAACTGCCCCAGAGGTATTGCCACGTTTTTCAACTAGAGGTTGTTATGTGCTGTGGAGTCGGTTCTGACTCAGAGGTCCTGTATAGGGCTTCTGAGACGGTACGTCTTTATGGACACAGACAGCCCCAGCTTACCTCTTCGGAGCCATTGATAGATCCCAACTGTTGACCTTCAAAGGGAAGCAAAGCATAGAAATTGAAGACGCCTTACTGGGAAGACTTACTAGCAATTTTCTCTTTTTACTAGAAAGCAACTAATTTTTGCTTTTCCACATTTCCATTTTCATACAAGATTTCTTGCAACTAGTCAGCTAGTTGTTGTTAAGTGCGGTCGAGTCAATTCTGACCCATAGCAACTCTGTATAGGGTTTCCGAGGAGCAGCTGGTGAGTTTGAACTGCCGACCTTGCAGTTTAAACCGACTTTGCAGTCCAGCACATTACCCCACAGCGCCACACCAGGACTCCGGTCTGCTAGTAGATGGCACAAAAGTATACCTATTTGACTCTTCTGAAAACATTCAGATCTCCAGACCAGGGCTGGCTTCATGTTTTCAAAGCATTTTGTCTGAAGGTAATCGCATTTCCCCGCAAACTTCTTAAGCCCCGTGGTGCAATTTGTGAAGGCCAGGTTACTGCAGGGTTCTCTTGGGCGGTGCTTCTCAACTCTACAGACATTCTGCTCCTAGTCAAGCTGCTGCATCTGTCTGGAGACCACTGTTGTGTTTATGGTGGCTTCCTCATCCTGCCCCATTGATGAGGCTTCTTCTTACCCACTTATCCAGGCATCTGTTGACGGCAGCGTGGGTGGAATCCGAATCCGACACCACGTTGTGTACTTTGCTGCTCTAAGTGCCCTGCATTGGCCGAGAGTTCCTGAGGAAGGCTGTGTTCTGAGTGTGGTCTGATTTTCTGCACCCAGAGCTACTCCAGGCCTGGAAACAGCACTTCTCCGAGGTACCTTGCACTCTGATCTCTTCCATTTACTGAGCCAGCAGCCTCCGTTTCGCTTTACCTGCATGACTCTGGCTCTCTGACCTAGCTGCAGGGTGGGGATAGATGGGGTACTTCTGATGACAGGAAGTGGGTCCCCAGCCCTGTGAGTTTACAGGGAAGACCCAGGTGCTGTGTTCTGAGTCCAGACCACCCTCCCCTCGCCCCCCATGAGTGATGCACACCAGGGACCACCACGACTGCCCCATGAGTTAGGAGTCAGGATAGCATGCGAAGCTTCATCTCCAGTTTTTATTTAGCAGCACAGAATGAGACAAAATCATCATGGGGTTGAGTTCTGGCTTTGAGGAGAGAGAGGTGGGAAACAGAGGTGAGGGACAATCCCTTTGCGCACACACCAAAGGTGTGTTATCTGAAGAGAGAAGCAGAGAAGGGACGGAGGGGACGACTCAGGCAGAACGTCACGTCCTGTGATCATCAAAGAGAAGACCTTCTACACAAGGGCTTGTGCTTTGGGCTCTTGAGCCGGTTTCCCAAGCAACTCTGTGAACTTGACCAGGGCTGAGTCCACACGTCTCAAAGGGAGGACATGGACAGATTACTGCTGGTGGCCATGGCACCCCGCATGCCGGGCATCAGTTCTTCAGCTGGGACACTTCGTACAGGTAGGCCCCCAGCATCTTTGTTCCTTCTATGTAGTTGTGTCTGGTGGAGAAGAGAAGTGGCCTGTCAGCTGGGTATGATGGATATCCCGAAGCCCAGCTTCTCCTGGCGACCTTCCTCCAAGGCATCAAATTGCTTCAGTCATGGTCAACGAAGTGAGACCACAAGAGAATCAAATGTTTAAAACTGGGTGAACTGGATGGGGAAAATTATGGCTCAAAGGCCTGGAATTGGAGACTCAGAAGGCGCAGTTAGCCCTCTCAGGAGCAAAGCCTCAAGGCAGGCCGCCGCCACCTGACTGGGCACCATTGTTTCTGAGTGTGCTGTGAACAGGTTCTGGGCTGTGTGGTGTGTGTGCTGCCCATGTTTTCTAAGAGGGCGATTCAGGGGGGCAGGTAGGGCGTCCACTGGAAAGTTTTCCTATTCCAGTTCAGTGTTTCACAAATTTGGGTCTACTCCAGTTTCTCTTAGTTGCCCATGACTGAACTGGGAAGAGGCTGCTTGAAGCTGTTTTCCCACCACCCTGGCTGATGGTCCTGGACCTGTCTATCTGCATGATGGCAGTGGACAATTCCCAGCGCAGGGTCAGCCCCACTGGCCACTCAGGGACCCCCAGCCCTCATTCGTGGAAATGGAAGACCACCACATCTTCCCAATAAATGTTGTGCCAGTCCTTGTCTGTGTACTTGTTCTGAAACATCAGGCCTCCAGCTTTGAAGCCCAGTAACTAGGATCGGCTCTCCCAGTAGGCTTGCTGCCTGTCACCCCAGGTGAATCCCATTTCTCTGTGCTCTTCAGCTCTCCCTGTGGGACCCCCGGTCCTGAAGAGCCTGTGGGTGCTCGGACCTGCTGCAGACCCCTGGCTGCCCTCATCCAGAGTGTGATCCGGGGGGGTCCATGCCACATCTACCCAGGTGGGGGTGTATCAAAGTGGTGTAACAAGCAGTAACACTGCTTGTTAAAGGCAAACGTCACCAAAGTGCAGAGATGACCCCACTCCCCACCAGCTGTGACGGTGTGACGAGCCAGCAGGGGCCTGGAAGAGACCCTGCCCACCAAAGGGCACGTGCAGCCTCACCTGTTGAGCTTCTCGTTCTGGGAGTGGGCCCCGTCATCGGCCGAGCCCACGGGCAGTAACATGACGTTCTTGCCTGTGGCCTCCTGGAAGGTCAGTGTCACCGGGATGCTACCACCTTCCCGGGTCAAGTCTGGTTCGACCCCAAACACTGCGGGCAGGACAGAAGAAATGGCCCACTTTTGACCATCCTGGACCCATCACCCTGCAGGTACTTTGAGCCCAGATCAAGGGAGTCCCCACCTGTTTTCAGCGCTCGCCGCCCGGCCATGTAGTGTGGGTGGTTGAAGTCTGACACCCAGGGCTTTCCGCCATGGCCCATGTACACCTTGAACTTGTTGGGGCTCTGCAGCTCCGCAAACTTCTTGGTCAGGTAGTTAGTCACCTGTACCGTAGATGGGAAAGTGTGGTGAGAGCCCAGCACACGGCTCAGCCCTGGTGTTCTGCTGCTGAGCCAACCCCGCAGACTGAAGGTTATTGGCAATATTTAACTCCAGGCAATTCAGGCAGGCTGTTTGCAGATGCCTCCAAAGTTAGGGAGAGTTCCGTTATAGGTAGCAACCTCCCTGTTTGTTGTGGGGTCCAGGCCAAGTTCCATTTAGACCTAGCTCGGTGCAGGCCCTGGGGAGGTCCAACTGGGTCAGGGGGGTCAAGGGTCCCAGCAGGCCTGGCATGGGGGTCACTCCCCACCCCAGGCCCTCCTGATCAGTGACAGGCTGTCCTAGGGTTCGCTGTGCGTCGCCCTGAAGCCTTGGGTCAGTCCACATTCTGGCCTCAGCAAGACAGCAGCCTGTCCACTCGGGAGGAGCAGGCTGGTACGTGTTGTGTATGTAACTTGGTGCCCTACCAGAAACCCCTGATCCCCCACACCTCACACACACAAACACACACACCCCTCTCCCTGGTCCCCCACGTGCCTGCTTGCTGACGACCTCGGGGGTCATGTGCGGCACCAGTCTGATGGAGAACTTGCCCACCACCTTACGAGGAATCACGGTTTTCGCTCCCGAGCCGGAGAAGGCGCCCTCGATGCCATGCAGCGAGAGGGACGGGTACCTCCACCGGTGCATCAGGATGTCCTTCTGTGTGTGTGTGTGGGGGCGACAACAGCAAACTGAGGGGCAGTCCACTCCACCCACAGCCCAGAAAACCGGCCCTCTGCCCACCTGAGCCCCCCACTCGGGTAGCCGGCGGCGTCCAGCACCTTGCAGCCATGCAGCAGGGTCTCGGCGCCCACGTCCTTGGCGTACTCTTCCACGTCGAAGTCAATGTCCTCGTACAGCGCCAGCTCCTCCTCCGTCACTGGCGCCACGGCCTCGTTAATGCCAGGGATGAGAATCTTCCCCTTCCGGTCCACCAGGGAGCCTGGGGCGGGCCGGGGAATGCTGGAGGTGGGACAGAACCACGGACACGCCCCTCCCGGGACACAGACCCCTCCGCGGTCACACATTATGGAGTCCCTACCATGGATCCCAGAGCCCCCTCCCACTCCCGTCCCCAGGCTCACCCATTAGGGTGATGAGGTCCGTCATGGCCTCATGGACTGAACCCCCGTACACGCCCGAGTGGAGATCCTTGTCACTGCACTCCACCTGGGAAGACAGAGATGGTCTCATGTGGGTGCTTGGTGGGGGCTGATGGTCAGTGCGGGGTGGTGCCTGAGCACAGCGCACTACTAGAAGCCGTTATCCAAACCAAACTGGCTTCCCCGGAGGGCGCAATGCATGGAGTTTCCAAAGGGACAAAAACCTAAGGCACAAACCAACATGGAAAGCATGGAAAGTAGTCCTGCACATGCAGAACTCGGGGAGAGCAAGAAGTGAGACTTCTCAGACCGCTGGCTCAGCCCCGAAGCTCCCAAAGTGTGTCGTCAGCAGCCATCCAGCCTGGGCCTCAGTGCTCTCTCTACCTTTGCAGACCCCAGCAGTTAATGAGACACTTGGAGTGTCCCCTATTCAGCAGCGTGCTGGGGCAGCTCTGGGGAGGGGTGGTGGAGGGCAGAGTGTGCAGGGCTGGGCTTGGCACCTCAATGAAAAAGTAGCAGATGCCCCGGAGGCCATAAGTGACACAGGGTTTCTTCTTGCCCAGCCAATAGTTGTCAGAGATGCAGACGTAGTCCACGTCCTTAAAGAAGTCATCCTTCTGGGCGAAGATGAGCTCGTCCAGGCCCTCGGAGCCTGACTCCTCCATGCCTTCCAGGCAGAATCGAACGTTCACGGGGATTTCCTGCGAAAGGCAGCCAAGATAGGAGGCCCCTGGCTTTCTCCGTGCCAGGAGACCACCCCTGTAGACGATCCCACACCCCACGGGGATTCCTACACCCCAGGTGCTCAGCAGACGGCTCTTCCTGGAGGTGCACAATGGAGACACACAAAGAAGACCCTCTGCATCTACCTGGGGCTTCAGCAGAGCCCGCGGTGCACCCTCTGAAACCATGACCCCGTTGTTGAATTCCATCCCAAACCCCTGCTGCATTAACTCTGTTCGCAGTGATTATAGGACTGAGCAGGACTGTCCGACTCCAAGAATGTCAAGTCTATGGCGGCAAATGCTACAGCTCTCTTCTGCGGAGTGTGGTGGGTTCAAACCACCAACCCTTCAGCTAGCACTGCTTCACCGCTGCTCCACCATGGTTTCTTTAAATAATGCCTAAATTCATTGTTGTTAAGTGGGTTCTGACTCACAGCGACCCCTACAGGACAGAGAACTGCTTTAAGGAGATTCTGAGGTTGTGACTTTTATGGACGCAGACCACCTTCCTGGTGGGTCCCACCCCCTGACTTGTCAGCCAGCAGCCCTCTGGGCCCCCAGGGCACTAGGGGGAATGGGAGAGAAGGCTTTTCTTATTAAAAGGCTGTCCCGGCACTGCCATGGCCAATTTCCAGGTGCATAAGGAACCCACCACACTCTGTTTGAATCCGTTTTCGTTTTCCAAATGCCACATCACTTTGTGAGGTGCATGTGCCACCCCTTTCACTAACAAGGTAATGACTCTCATCTGAGATTCAGCTAAGCGACTTGCGGGAAGGCCCTGGGAGCTGCAAAAGTCTGAGGTTCGAGTCCATTCAGGGGCACTTTGGAAGAAAGGCCTGGTGGTTTACTTCCAAAAAATCAGCCATTGGAAACCCCGTGGAGCCCAGTTCAGAGCTGACGGGTGGGATTGCTGTGAGTTCAGTGACCTGCCAGAGGTCACACTGGAGACAGAATGGACCGAGTCTTGGGTCAGAGGTGCTGGTCAGCAGCTTGGCCACTGCTACAGGTGCCGGGAACACAGCGTGCCAAGTGTAAGGCCCATGCTTATAGGTGCCGGGAACACACCGTGCTAAGTGTAAGGCCCATGCTTATAGGTGCCGGGAACACAGCGTGCTAAGTGTAAGGCCCATGCTTACAGGTGCCGGGAACACAGCGTGCTAAGTGTAAGGCCCATGCTTACAGGTGCCGGGAACACAATGCTACTGGTCTGAAGAGTTGGGGCGGAGACTGTTTTGTCTCCTTTCTGCTTCTCTGTAGTCGACACACTGTGTACACTGAGCAGGTAGATGTCTCATAGTGAAGAAAATGGCTTTTAAAAACACAATCTTTTCTTAGGAGGCTACTCCTTGGAAACCTATACAGGGTCCACTATGAGTCAGAACTGACTCAACAGCACTTAACAACAAAAGTACAGGGAAAGAATGAGGCCTGCCCAATATTATGAGGCACATGGTTTCTTGGGGGGAACCATCACTCACAAGTACATAGCCCAGGGAGTTGGGGGGACCCTCGCTGACAGGCACACAGCCATGGGGTTCTGGGGGACCTATAAGCAGCTTGTTGTTGTTAAGTGTCATCTACTTAGTTCTGACTCATCGTAATCTTGTATAGGGGTTACATGGAGTAGCTAGTGAGGTTGAACCACCAACCTTGTGGGCCGGTGCTGTATCCCACAGCCCACACCAGGGCTCTGAAAAGCAGCTAGTGAGTAAAACCCACGGCTCAGAGTCCCCAGCATCAGGACCTTTGAAAGCCCATGAAACAATTAGGGTGCCTCACACTGCCCGTATGTATCCCAGACCTCTGACCCGCCCAGGCTGCTCGTTGCCTGCTCAGGTGGGCATGTCAGGAAGTGCCCAGTACAGGTAACACACCTGGTTGGTTTTCTGGAAAGCTTCCAATGCATTCATCCAGCCAGCCACTGGCCCCTTGTCATCCGTGGAGCCTCTCCCATAGAGTTTCCCTGGAGAGGGGGAGGGAAGTCGGCACAGGTGGACAGGAGGAGGGTGGGTCTCATGGGCACAGGTTCACCTGGCCTCCCCAGGACAGAGGGCTTCTTCCGAGTTCTCTGAGGGAACTGACCCCGGAGACCCCGTGGATGACTCTGATCTAATGACCTTCCTGTGGTACTTCTAGGGGGACGCAGCCTCCAGGAATTCCTTGTGATCAGTTCTGTAAAAGTGACTTTGCACAGTGGGGTGTGGATGGCAGTGGAAAACCTGGTCAGACGCAGAAGCCACCAGGGACAGGGATCAAATCGAGAATGACTGGCCTCACTTCTACCCCGAAGGTGACATAGATTTTAGGAAGAAGAGGATGCATACTTGCCACTGACTGATTTCTCAGGCCATCGCTCTGGAAGCTAAAGGACTCAGTAAGACTGCTACCAGCGCGTCCCCCCAGACCACCTCCTCCTTACTCACCAGATGACCCAAGAGGAGTGAGCCAGTGGGCCAAGGTTTCCTGGGCCCTAAAGTGCTTGGTAGCGTAGTGGTTACGAATCGGGCTGCGAACCTTAAGGTCAGCGGTTCGAAACTACCAGCCGCTCCGCGGGAGAAAGATGAGGCTTTCTACTCCCGTAAGGATTTACACCCTTGGAAAACCTGCACAGGGTCGCTATGGGTTGGAACCGACTCGACGGCACTTAACAAAAAAAAAAAAGTGCTTGGGGCTGCAACTCCATGGCCCATTCATCCAGCCTGTCTCTGCCTTCCGCATTTCTTCTTGGCTTGAGATGTTCTTTCAGTTTCAACTTGACCCACCCAAAGTACTGAAGCCTAAGGCCATGCTGACTTCAGGAACTTCCTTTTACAAACTTCTCAGAAATGCAAATTGCTGTTTGTGAGGTGGGGTCAGTTTCCACTCAGTGACCCCACATACAACAAAAAGAACCACTGCCTAGTCCTGCCTTATCCTCACAACTGTGACCAGGCTTGAGCTCACGGCCACAGATAAACGCTCTCGAGTCTTTGGTCCTACACAGACACAATTAAAAACAGCTGTGTGGGGGCTCTGGGCTAGAGGAAATCAAGTAGAAGCCAGATCCACTGCTGTGAGTAGATTCCGACTCATCGCAAGCGAAGGACAGAGAAGAATTGCCCTGGTGGGCTTCCGAGGTTGTAAATCTTTCCAGAGGCAGAAAGGCTCGTCTTTCTCCCATGGGAGAGCTGGTGGGCTCAAAACGCTGACCTTTTGGTTAGCAGCAAGTGATTTATCGACTGTGGTTTGCCAAGATGAGCCCAAGTCCATTCCTTCCTCAGGTGGGGACAGTACTCAGGGACAAAATTAGGTGTGTACACAGCTTATTCTAGGCTCATGGGTGTGGTGGGGAGGAGGGAGGGACCTGGTTGTCTGTCAGAGTCTGACCCGGTCCCCATCTTCCAAAGCAGAGCTCCTCAGACATGGTTCAGCAGCACATGAACACTGGGGCTGGGACTGGGAGGCAGGTTTTGAGGACTAGACCATGTCTCCTGGGGGAAATGGTGTAGGAAAGGGAGGCCTGGAAAGACCCCAGGCCAGTGAGGGTGTGATCCGTAAACCCCCTACCCAACAACCGAACACACTGCCATCTAGCTGAAGTGGACTCCGGGCCTTCCTGTGGGTGGAGGAGAACTGCCCCATGGGGTCTCCCAGGCTGTAAATCTTTATGGGAGCAGATAGCCTCATCTTTCTGTTCTGGAGCATGTGGTAGATTAGAACTGCTGACCTTGTGGTTAGCAGCGTAATGCCTAACACCCACTACGCCACAAGGGCTGTCGCAGCCGATGCACAGGTGGCAGGGACAGTTAGAGATAACCTGTACAGGGAAGGTAAGAGCCAGGAGGAAGGTCAGAGCCACAGAACCGTTTCCCCGGATGTTAAAAGGCTTTTCATCCGTGAGAGTTCCGGAGCTGTGGGGATAGTAGTGTAAGTTACCGTTGCGCTCCTCCAGGGTGAAGGGCTCACTGTCCCAGCCATCCTCTAGGGCTGCTGGCTGCACATCCAGGTGCCCGTACACACACACAGTCTTTTTCTGGGGGTCTGAGCCCAGCTTGCCGAGCAGAACAGGTGGAAGTGGGATCTCGGAGCCGTCAGGAAGCTGGGGGTCGGGAAAGTAAATCAGGGAAAGTCTGGGCTGAAAACGTGTATTTACAGTGAACATCACCGAATGCTTGTGTTTTCCGAGCTGTCCTCACACCGGCTGGCCTCCACTGTTCAGTTTGTCATTGCTCAACAGCCAAAGTAAAACCAAAGACCTACGATTCTGACTCACAGGAAGAACCCTGTAGGGCAGGGTGAAAGTGCCTGCTCGCCTTCCCAAGGCTCATCGTACAGAAGCGGATCGCAGGGTCTTTTCTCCACAGAGCTGCTGGTGGCCTTCAACATCTGACCTTTAGTTTAGCAGCCCAGCCCTTAGGGCTCATTTATGTAGCCCTATGAGTCCTGGGTGTGGCTCTGAAGGATAAGCACTAGACTGCAAGGTCAGTTTGAATCTTGGTGGTCCAAACTCATCAGCCAATCCTTAGAAACCCTATACAGGGCCACTGTGAGTTGGAACCAACTCAACAGTATTTAACACCGACAACAAACAGAGTCCAGGTGTGGCACTGTAGGATGAGCACTGGATTACTACTAAACACAAGGTCAGTGGTTCCCACCCACAGGGTCAGCTGCTCCTTGGAAACCCTACAAGGGTTGCTTTGCTATTAGTTGGAACCCACGTGACAGTACTTAACCACAAACCAAAATCAAACCCCCTGATGAGCGAGTCTAGTCTGACACACAGTATTATTGGGGGATAGCAATTTTTAGCACCGAGGCAGACAGAGTAGAACAGCGTCTCACAGCATCTCTACGACTGTCAGCTTTACAGAAGCTGACTGCCATGTCTGCCTCATATAGAGCAGCTGGAGGGTTCGAACCACTGACCTTGTATTTAGCAGCTGAGTACTTAAACCCACTGTGCCACCAGGGTTCCGTAGCAAAAATTTAGTTTCTTATAATCCAGATGCATTAAACTGAATTATGTATCCAAATGCAAGCAATTTGGTAAGCTTCATTTCGAAAGCTTTTTTAAAAATTAAATTTTTATGTAAGAAAAGATTATAATGCAACTCAGCGTGTTATTTTCTGAAGTCATGGCTAAAAGAGACAGTTTGAACTAGTAACTCTGTGGAGATTACAAGTATGCCCAAAGGAGGACAGGCGTGAAGATGGAAACCCACACCACTGGTGTTGGTGACACCGCGGTGACGGAGGAACAGCTCTGAGCTCAGCTTGCCAAGCCTTCGCCATCCACCAGTTCTGTCAGCTGTGAGAGTTCTAACACTGGAGGCAGAACAGGGCACATCCAGTTCACACCCCCATGAAGCCCTGGTGACACAATGGAATAAGTGCTGGGCCGTGACCCCAAGATCAGCAATGCAAACCCAACAGCCGCTCCGGGGCAGAAAGAGGGAGACGGTGTGCCCCAGTACATATTCACCACCGTCCGAAGCAGCTCTACTGTGTTCTGTGGGGATGCTATGAGTCGGACCTGACTTGACGGCACTGGGCTTGGTTTTGGTTTCTATGGAACTTAAGTCTTTTCCAACTTTCACAGCAGGCCTGTGGTCTCCATTTAAAAAAACAACAACAAAAAAATCATGATTCATTCAGACTATACAAAAAGTCCCCCAGCCCACGTCCCTACCTACCAAGTTCTGTGTTCTACCAGGACAAACACCCGGGAGTTACACGGTCGTACAAGCACAGGAGGGGCAGTGGGCTTCCAATCTGACACCTAACTCTACAGACGGGTCCCAATCAACCCTTTGTTTTTTGTTAAGAACTTGCGGAGTCCTGTCTGCCCTCCTGAGGGTGTGGATGTGTTCATCGGTGGCTCTGAAAGGCTAAGGGTGGCTGGAATTGATGGGAAAATGGGGGGAAGGATGTGGAGAGGCAAGGGGTGGGTGTGGCTCACTGGAAGATGGTTGAAATGGCCAGTGCTTAGTGATATACACACTTATCACCACACAAATACACCAGTGCCAACACCATACCTTTTGTTTCCCAATGTCTACCAACTCCACAGAGCCCCCAAGTTTGGTGATGTCTGCAGCGGCAACTTCCATCATCCTTGTGATCTCGGCGCGCTTCTCGGGCCAGGCAGACACGCTCTGGATGGCCACCCATTCTGCCAGTTTCTGTTTGTGGCAAAGAAGCAAACCCAGGTTTAGTGAAGTCGCCCCCCCCACCCCCCCACTCTGCCCCGCCTCCCGCCAGGTTTCAGGATGCAGCTGACAGGAACTGTGCCTGCTATTTTGAACACGGTGTGACCAGATGGATGAATCGGCCCGTTACTTTTACTTTCTGTTTTGAGATTTCAGAAGGGCCATTTGTGTTAACCCTTTCCCAAGAAGGACAGAACAGAAAACCATCAGAATGTGTATTTCCAACCATGAAGCATGAAGAGAACATCAAATCAGGTTCCACTGAGAAGTTGATTCCTGTCTGCCTTCCTGCCTCTCACAAAACTGTGAGAAAACAGGAGCCAGCCTACCTGTAGCCCAAATTAGTGATCTGTCGTCTTGACAATGGTCAAGCTCATGGAAGTGTGATTTTCAGAATAAGAATTCCAAAATCTGAATCGAAAATTTGTCTGAGGATACCATTAAAGCTTGGTCAAAACTCAATGCCGAGACAGATTAATTATATATAAATACTACAAAGTCCTTTGAAATATCCCAGAGTCACTGAAAATGCAAATTGCTCTTTAACCTGTGACGCTGTAGAAGCACTGAACTGCTGCTAGGTCAGTGGTTCAAACCCACCAGCCTCTCCTCGGAAACCCTGTACAGGGTCACTGTGAGTCGAAACCAACTTGATGGCACTTAAAAACGTCCATCTGCCATAGGGAAGTGTTGGTGACATTAACCAACAATCCCTACTTAGCTGTGCGGTGGTCCTACAAATACGAGGGGGCTTCAGAAAATTCATGGGAAAATGGAATTAAAAGAACATGGAATTCTTTCACCAACTTTTAGAAGGCCCCCTGTGTTAAAAGCCACCGGTATAATTTTACTGTGATGAGAAGGTCTAGGCACTTCCTCACTCTTAACACTTCTGACATATTCCCTTTTTAAATATAAATTCCTTAAACTGAAACCAGATTGCCAGGTTGGCTCCAGTGGGGCTAGTCCTTACCTTAACATAACGATCCTGATTCTCATCAATGTACTTGAATAGGCCCTGGAGAGCTGACATTGTCCAAGCAGATAAAGCAGGGCTGGAGGTTCCTAGAAGGAAGAACAGTAGCTGTCTCCAGGCAGGGCTGAGGAGTTATCAGGCCCGGAGGCACTTGCTGAGCATTTAAAAAGTGCAACTCCACCCTCTGGGCGGGGCCGGGATTGCAACAGGGTCACAAGAATTCTCCGGGAAATGTGCGAGGGTGGCCACAGCTTCAGGATAGAAGCTGTGAGGTTCTATAGGAGGCTGAGGCCCAGCTCCCATCCATTTTTTTCACTAAAAGAACATAACATCTGGGTGTGCACATTGTACCACATCAATCTTCCATCCATCTACCACAAAAACGTTAGTGGGAAGCTATCTGTTTGCACAGGACAATGGCCCATTATGTTCTGTGCACACAGCACGGGGTAAACAGCACTGATCCCAAGCACACAGCTGCTGTCCCTGTTAATACTGCTGTCTGGGAGGCCAGGTTTCCTGCTGGTGAGGGGAGCTACACCCTCCCAGGTAGGATTACCTGAAGGTACACTTTCAGGCAGGGCTCTCAAGCTGGGCTGAGACATGTTGCTTGGGTCAGGTGCCAAGGAGTCAATTCTGACTCATAGGATCTTATGAACAACCCAACACAACCCCAGGTAGCCCTGCACCACCCTCAAAGCTGTTTCTATGTTTGAGCTCACTGTTGCTGACACAGGGGCCAATCTTTCCTGTTGGTGGTCTTCCTTTTTTTTTGCTGACCCTCTACTTTACTAGGCATGTAGTCCTGCGCCAGGGACTTGTCCCTCCTGATAATATGTCTAAAGGGACAAAGTCTTGCCATTCCTGCTTCTAAGGAACATCCTGGCTGTACTTCTTCCAAGACAAGATTTGTTCTTCTGGCAATCCATGGTGCTTTTAATATTTCTAACACCAGATCATTAATCCAGTTGAAGCAGGGCCAGCCAGGTTTGGTCTCTCCCCCCTCCCCCCCTCCAAGGGGATCACTCCTGCTTCCCTTCCCCCAGGCTCAAGCCTTTGAAACAGAATTATTAAGGTAAAAGCAGAATGCTGGATGGAACAAAAGCAAACATTATCCTTTCCCCAAAGAACAGCAGAGGTTTCAGTTTCTGGCTGCTGAGAGTCTGATGCTCCTAGGAGTAACATGTATCTGGTACTGCCGGGGTCTGCCAGGAACAATCACAAATTTAGGGTCCTGGAGGAGCCCTGGTGGGCTTGTAGGGTAAGTTCTGGACTGGTGACTGAGAGGTTGGCAGTTCAAACCCATCAGCCAGCCATTCCCTGGGAGAGAGATGAGGCTCTCTGCTTCCATAAAGATGTACAGCCTCAGAAACCCTAAACAGAGGCACCATGAATTGGAATCGACTCCATGGCATTGAGTTTATTTTTCTGGTTTTGTTTTCAGTCCCATATGTCTCCATCCTTAATGAAAGACACATTGTATTCTAAATAAATACCTAAACGCTCTTCAAATCTGTGCACAAACCAGGAAAACAGGTAGGGATTACCATTTGTCCAGTAAAGACCTTTATCCTAAAGTTGTTGTTGTCTGCCCTGAGTCGGTTCTGACTCATAGCGAACCTTTATAGGCTTTCAGAGGAGCAGCTGGTGAGTTTGAACCACCTATCTTGCAGTTCAAACCGCCCTTGAGGTGAGCGCTTATCCTACAAAATGGCCTTCTGTTATCTCTAGATAAGGCACTCTGATTAAAGACAGCACTTGGGGTCACTATGAGACAGTGGGGTTGCTATCAGGAAAAACAAAGATAGAGTAAGAGAAGACCTCATTTCCGCATCTCCTCCCGGCAGCACTTGGACGACTGCCCTAAGGTGCCCCCTCTTCCTGAAGTTGGCCCCCCGGTAGTGAGGCCTGTCAGCAGCTGACCGAATTTTCTGATCTCAGCAGCTCTTCCCTTCTGGCAATCTCCCCATTTAAATGCTGTTACCCCACCCCAAGACTCCTGAGGCACTACTGAGGTGCTGTCAGCAGTATGCCTGAGGAATGGGTGGGGTCGGTCAGGGCAGCGCTTCCCCTGAGGGCGGGGTCTGGTCAGCTGACTGGTCAGCTGCCTAGGGGGAAGGAAGAATGGTGGTTCCCTGAGCGGGCCCCTTGGGTCAGGAGGGTCCTCCAGGTAGGAGACTCCCCTAGGGCGGTTTCAGGGCCTGGGGTCCCTTCAGATAGGGGACTGGCCGAGGGCGGGCCTGGGGTCTAGGAGGGGCCTTCAGGTTGAGGGCTCCCTGAGGGTAAGCCCGGGGCCTGGGGGCCCCCCTAGGTAGGGGCTGCCCTTAGTCTGAGGGGGTCCTCCAGGTAGGGGGCTGCCTGAGGGCGGGCCCAGGCCTGAAGGATCTTCCAGGTAGGGGGCGCTCGCTGACGTGGCCGGCTGAAAAGGCGATCACAGACCCCTGGCCTCTCATCTCGGCGTCGTGACCATTGTCCGGCCGGGTTGTGGCCACATAGAGCGCGACCCCGCCGCTCACAGGCCTTCAGACCGATGGGCACCGCAGCCACACCACCCGCCCGCCGGATCCCGACTCAGCCTCCAGTTCGACCCCGCTAGTTGGGGCCGGAGGGCTCTTACCCCCGGCAGACGCACACCGCTTCCGCACCACGTGTTGGGCCCCGCCCCACCCCGTCCACCAATCATCGGCCACGTCCGCAGGGGACGTCGCCCCGCCCCGCCGTCGCCCCGCCCACCAATTCCCAGGCTGGCCCTCGGAGGGTCGGCCCGCCCACTAATCCCCGGGTTCCTCTGTGGAACTGACGCCATTCTGCCCCGCCTCACCCCGCCCACCAAATCCAGGACTCTGGACTGATGTCGCCCCGCCCACCGTGACGTAGACCCAGGGATGGGGGCAGGTGGGCCCTTGCGCAGGGGCGTACAGGTGGTCTCTGGTGGTGGGAGGAAAAGCAGGTACACCCCGGGGTGGGGGTCAGGTGGGTCACGGCGATGGGAGAGGGGGACAGGTGGGCCCCTGGGTGGGGGGAACAGGTGGACCCGGGGGTGTGGGGACAGGTGGGCTCTAGAAGAAGAGGGGAGACAGGCCCCGGGGTGGGGAAAAGTTGGTCCCCACAGGTTGGGGGACTGGTGGACCCTGGAGTACAGGTGGATCCTGGGGGCGGATTAGTGGCCCCTGAGCATGTGTCCAGAGAGGTGACCTGACCTCTGTCTCCTTCGTTCCCTCCAGGGGTGGCCTGGTTCTTCCATGGGAGTTCCTCAGTACTCCTTACCCCAAAGGATGGAACCCTTCATCTATCAAAACCCATGAGTGACCAGGACAAGTCAGTGGACTGCAGCTCTCCCCCTGCATTGTGAGACGTTCCCAAGAGCAGGAGTGGCTCCGTGTTGAAGTGCCAACCGTGGGGTGGCTGGAGCTACTCCTGTATCAGCCCTTACAGAGCCCTTCAGTAACCCTTCATTATGTTTATGAGCAACTGTAATTACCAGAGCCTAGTGCTGGTGGTAAGGGCCATGAAGTTCATCCAACTCATAGCCACCCTGTGTAGGGTTTCCAAGGAGCAGCTGGTGGCTTTGAACCACCCATTTTGTCTTTAGTAGTCCAGTGTTTATCCTACAGCACCACACCAGGACTCCAAATCAGAAAATCATAAGTGATTATAAAGTTCTAAATTGTAATAATCTTAAGTGATAATAAAGTTGTAAGATAATACAATGTACCATTTCTTATGTGAATACTACTGATTGTTTTGAAACATCCTTATCATTATTGTTACAAATCAAAGTGACTTTAATGCACAATAGACTGAAACACCACCCTGTCCTGAGGCAGCCCCACAGTCATTGCTACACTTGAGCTGCTACCACTGTGCCTATAATATTGTTAATAAAACTTAAAAAAAAATTGTTTCCTTTAATTTTCATTCTCAAAATACTGATTACCACAATATTGTATCAGTGCTTAGAAAAACATCAGCAGCGCTGAACACAGCCGTCCATCCAGTGCTTATCCTACAATGCCACCACGCCTCCTGGAGCACATTACAAGGTGGTTGTTGTTGTTAAGTGCCGTCAAGTCAGTTCTGACTCAGAGACCCTCTATAGGTTCCCAAGGGACAGCTAGCACTAGGTTTGAACCACTCACCTTTCGATTAGTTGTTGTTGTTGTTATGTGCCGTGGAGTCGGTTCCGATTCATAGCGATCCTGCACAGGGCTTTTGAGGCTGTAAATCTTTATGGGAGCAGAAAGCCTCATCTTTCACCCATGGAACAGCTGGTAGTTTCGAACTGCTGACCCTGAGGTTCGCAGCCTGATTCGTAACCACTACGCTATCAGAGTCCAGTGCTTATCCTAGAGTGCTACACCAGACTCCACAGTGCTGTTACTGTTGTGTGTCATATCCCCACACCTGCCCAGTGAGTCCCATGATCCGAGGAATGAAGACGCATACCCACCATTCTCTAGCGTCTCCTAGTTATCTTCTTAATCCTCACAACAGTTTTAACTATTAGCATCCTGAGTTTTACATGTGGACGCAACGAGGTGGAGGATCTTTAAGAACACATAACTTTTCTCCTTGCATTTTGCATGGTTCCTCTTTCTGAAGTTCTAATTCCATCCTTCATCCCTCACAGAATTTTATCCCAGGTAATATTTTTATGCTTAATTGTCTTTTACTGAGCACACTGTCATGTCTCTTAACCAACATCCTGATAAATGGAGAAAAGATTGACGTTGTCAAATGGTTTCATTTTACTTGGATTCACAATCACTACCCATGGAAGCAGCAGACAAGAAATCAAACGGCCTACTGCAATGGGCAAATCTGCTGCCGAAGACCTCTTGAAAGTGTTAAAAAGCAAAGACACCACCTTGAAGACTAAGGTGCGCCTGCCTTAAATCATGTTTTATTTGTTTGCTTCTTGTGCTTGTAAAAGCTGGTCAGTAAGAAAGATTGAAGAAGAAAGATGCATTTGAATTAGGGGTTGGTTAAGAATATTGAGTATACTTTGGACTATCAGAAGAACAAGCCAAACTGTCTTAGAAGAGAAGTACAGCCAG